TATGATGTCCCTGAAAGGGTTAAAGCCATCGCCTTAGGAACAGCCACTTCCACGGTGCCTGAAGCCCCCGCCCCGTCGATGTATGACTTTTGGTTGAAAAAACTTGATCATAATGATAGAGCGGATGTGAATGTCCCAACTCCGCGATGGGACCGCCGGTATGCAGTGCTGAGTGATCGGGAAGCAGAACGACTCCAACGTGGTCGTCCAGTCGATGAACCAGCCAGTGGCTGGAATGAGCTCGATCTGCAAAACTTTGGCTGTTTGGTTCACACTATGCACAACCCCGAACATGCCTTTATGATCGGACTGTTTGTTCTTCGGGGTCGAAATTGGACCACCATGCCTGAGGTGCGTATGATTTGGGATCACCGGCATACCAATGCTCCTGTGCCCTATGTGTTTGGGTATCAGCCCGGTGGCTTGAATGATCAGAACACTGAGTACGAGCTTGACCTCCTTGGCGTCGTAGAAACCGAAAGGGTCGTCGACTTTGAAGACGAACCCAATCGTCGCGCCTACCTTTACCGGGCCATCCGATATGGTCAACCTCCTCAGTGGTTTCTGATCGAAAGTAACATGATATGGCAAGATCGGTTCCGCTCTTCTGAAGAGACCGGTCGCAACCCAGTTCCCAATCCCCAAGGGCCTCCGCCCTTTGAGAACAGGAGAGATCGTTCTCCGCGTCGGGACCCTGATGCTGGGCCTGCCTTTCGTGTTGCTCGGCTCTTCTCTAACTCTGGCGGTTCCCCGTCGGCAACAGAAGCGTTCTCTCCGTGTGAGACCTTCTGCAAGCAGGTGCTTCTTGAAGGAAACTCCGTTTCCACGGGTCAGCTTGCAAATGCTATCCGTTTGTACGTTCAAGATAAGAAAGCGATCAATCGGATCGCGAAGCGCCCTCTTGCCGGGAACCAGAAAGATGAAGCTTCAGGAGCAACGCTCCCTCCTTGGTTCTGGTCTTCCGGGGCTTGGGTTTTCAGTGCTAAGGTTGGAATCACCAATACGGTGCATGAGTGCCCGTGGCTCACTCGCCTTCTTGCTGTGAGCCTCTTCCACCGCACTGGGCATTGCTTTGCCTCCGTTGGCTTTGTCGTCAACATTGAGTCAGAGATTCATCGGGACTCTCACAATTCCCTTGAGTCAATGAATGTGGTTTGGAATGTCGGGCAAGGCTCAGGTTCTCTTGAGGTCCGGGGCCATGAGATGCCTCTTCCGCCAAATGCCTGGCTTAGTTTCCCCCCGCGTGATCTCCATAAGTCTGGAAGTTGGGAAGGAGACAAAATCCTGGTTTTGGGCTACACCCCTAGATCTCTTGAAAAGTTAACTTCTTCGGATCTTCTAAGCTTGAGATGGGTGAATATGCCAATCCAGGACCTTGAGCCTCTGTCGTCGTCTTCCGTCATCGGAGAACCCTCTCCTGGAGACGGTGTGTCGAAATCGCTTCCAGATGAGTGTGACTCAGGTGAAGAGGAAGCAGACCTCCCGGCAGAGGAATCGTGGAGTCAGGTGACTCAGGGATATGAGCAAATGCACCAAGCAGTGACGCATTTCTTGAAGTCACTGCAACGATCTGTTGTGGGCGCTTCTTATGAAGGCCCAGTTGACCCTATCACCTTGCAGGCGATGCGCGAAGCCTCCTCCCTTCGAAATGAGTTGGGCTGGCATCTAGAACTTGCGCGCCTGTATGGCTGCGATGAGCCTGTCAGTTCCTCCTCGTGGAGGGTGTGTGCCGCTGCCCCTGCAGCAGAACATCTTGAGTCTCAGCCCTTGCTGCATACCCGCATCGTCTCGAATGAGGAAGTCCGTGAGAAACTGCATGAATGGCGGGATGCCATGAAGGCAGAGTGCGATTCCTTGATTTCGAAGGGTGCTGTTGAGCTTGTGGCAGATAGTCAAGTTGAAAAATGGATTTTAGATGGTGAAGATGTAGAGATCCTCCCCGGCCGGGGTGTTGCCACTGAAAAGCCCCCAGTAGCTCCCGGATCCACTAAGAGAAATAAGTATAGAGCTGTAATTTGCGGCAATTTTCAAAAGTGGTCCGAGGAAAGGGCGGCAGAGTCCTTCTATGCCGGAGGAGCGGATTCTCTTTCGATCCGCACTGCCTTGAGATGGGCGGGCATGAGGAAGCACGGTGGTTCAGGAACTGATGTCAAGACTGCCTTCCTCAACGCTCCTCTTGATGAGCAGGAGGCAGAGTATCTGATCTGCAATCCACCTAAGGTGCTGTATGCCGCGGGAGTTATCCCGAGGGGCTACAAGTGGAGAGTCCACGGTGCTCTTTATGGACTCCAGACCTCCCCTCGTGCTTGGTCCCGCCTCCGGGACAAAACCTGCAGAGTCCTGACCTGGACCGTTGATGGCGAGAACCGCCACTTGCAACAGTGCGTTGCGGACCCCAACATTTGGCTCGTCAAGTCCCCTTGCGGCGAGACTGTTGCCTTGATGTGTTGGTATGTCGATGACCTCCTAGTGTTGGGACCCTGGTCGGAGCGATCTGCTCTTCTTGAAAAAATCAAGGCCACATGGGAGTGCAGCGCATTTACGCATACTGAAGATGGCCCAGTTGAATATTGCGGTCTTGAGATTTCGGAGTCTGCTGATGGTCTCTTGATTGGGCAGACCAAGTACATCAAGGAACTCTTGAAGAGGCACAACGTGCAGGGGAGTGCCAAGTCTCCATGTGCCGCGTGGTCAGCCAACTTCGATGATGGCGAAAGCCGTGATGACCCGGTTGATCCGGAAGCGGTTAAGGCCGCTCAAAGCATAACTGGTGAGCTACTGTGGCTCTCAGTTCGAGCGCGCCCCGAGCTGTCTTTTCCAGTCAGCCGCATGGCACAGTTGACCACCAAGAGGCCAAAGGATGCGCTAAGCATTGGGCAGGGAGTGTTGCGTTTCTTGAATTCTTCACCCTCCCAGTGCATTGTGTATGGCCCTCCTCCTGGAGACTGCGGGGCCTCTCAACAGTATCCGAGGCCCGTCGTTGAAACGACGTTGCATGCTTTTGCAGACGCCTCTTTTGGGCCAAGTTCAGGCAGATCCCACCAGGGTCTGCTAGTGTGCTGGGCTGGAGCTCCGCTCCACTGGGAATATGGCCGCCAGACGCTGACTGCTCTGTCAACCGCTGAGAGCGAGCTGATCAGCTACGTCTGTGTTGTGCAAGCAGCTGAAGCTGTTGAGGCCTTGATTGGGGAGATCTTTCCAGAGCCCCTTACTCGATCCCTCTTCGGAGATAATTCTTCAGCAATAAGCATTGTAAGCGGCCCCCCAACTTCCTGGAGATCCCGCCACTTAAGACTTAGGTCCCATGCCCTACGTGAAAGGATCGAAAGTGGTGTTTGGACGGTTTATCACTTAAGCGGCTTGCTGATGCCCGCCGACATCCTTACAAAGGCGATGACAGCCTCAAAGTTCGGCGACATGTTGCCGTTTTTAGGGGTTAAGAATCCGTCTGAGGATTGTAGGTTGCGGCTAGCTGCAGTGCTGGCATGCTGTGCCCTGCTTCTGAAAGGGCAAGGCTCTCCTGAGCCTGAGGGTTGGGGTTGGGTTATAGTGTACCTTACGGTTGTGATCTTAGCCTACGAGGGTTTTAGGTCATTCCTTAGGAGGTTCTTAGGCGTAGTTGCGTACGTGTTCCCAGGCCTCGGTGCTCGATGTCCCGGGGTTCTGGATGTGCATTCCTCGCCCGATTCTGGGACCACGCAGCAGCCTGCCGCAAGCACCCCGCCTTCCTCTTCCACACAGTCCCTGGTGCTCGACTTCCCAGGGGTTCGTCCTCCTCCATCGGTGCTCGACTTCCCGGTGGAGCCTCTTTATCTTCTAGATCCACTTCGAATCTTCGCGGCTCCCACTGGCATCAAAATCCCAAATGCTGCCATCTCCGAAACCGGGATCATTCATCACTGCTTCCGTGCAGTGACTGTGTGGTTGGCCGCACGGTCTTCCATACCAATCTCCCTACTGGACTTCGACGCCGCAGGGGAGGGTGAGTGATGGACTTCAAGGCAACCAGTGCCTTGCAGGCTACCATAGCCTCCGAGCACCAACTCGTTAAACTGATCCGCTGCCTGCCGGCCTGGACTTTTGCAGCGACCTGTAAGTGTCGCTTTCTTCCTCATGGCTGGACTTAGCCTTCCTTCGGGGCTAGTCAGGCCCTCGACTTCCTTCTTCCCTCCTCGCCGTGCCACCATCCGTCCTTTCCCTTGTGGATTTTTGAGGCGGTACCGCGGGGTTAAAGGGGCTTTTAAACTACTAGTCTTCAGACTTTATCCTTGTTTGATTCTTTCGAAAGGCCTTGAGCTCTAAGACAATGGCTCCATGACTCCTGAATGGATGGATCCCTCGAATGAGGTAGAAGTCCACAGGGTCTAAACAGACCATTAGGCTTTGCGAAGCGCAAAGGGGGGAGTGTTGGAGTGATTTCAGCATGAGCCCCTGCGCAGAATGACACACATGCAGGCCTTTTTGCTCAGCGTATATAAAGTTGTTGCGTGCTTTCGGGGTGTAAGTTCAGGGTTGAGCCTAGAGTCCAAAGCTTAGGTAGCCAGGTTCTTCTAAAGGCCCTTCCCCGGTAGCTCCTCGAAAAGACTAACTATTCAGGCCCCTATATTACTTCACGGTCCAATGACGTTTGGGGTTTAGGGGCACTGGCGGCACCCTGTCCTCACTACCTCTGCTCCATTCCTACCAGCGCTGCCCATTATACGTAAACTTGAGCACCGGCATGTCCACGCGAAGAATGACGACTCGGGCCCTCGCATGAGCAGGTAATCACGTCCCGATGAGGGTGCCAGGCATTTGTCTTGGCTTCGTGATTCATACTGCAGTTTGTCTCAACGGACTTTAGAGAAACTCCGACATGCGTCAACGACCACTGATTCTTGAAAGACGGGTCTGAGGGTCTTTCCTAACGAAATGCTAGGTCTTCCTGAAGCATCCGACTTCCGGGGCTCAAAGGGGTACCCGGGTACCCTTCCATGTTAGAATATGCCCGGGCACTGAAGATCCGACACGACGCGCTGGTCTTCCTGTCGTCGTGCCCGCAACGCCGGGACGCTTGGTGCCGGAGAGCGTAGGTCCCAAGCTTCGGGGTTGGAGGGTGAGGTTGGGGCTTCCAGGGCCAACATAGATCTGTTCAAGCGCCTGACATGTCAGGGTGCTCCGCACAGTGGATGGCGAGCCTTCGACTGAATGTGTGACCCTGCAAAGAGTATTCCGGAGTTCCGTAGGAGAAACCTTGGATCGCTCTCTTTTCAAGGGCCCCTCCAGCGAAGCCAAATGATGACTGTTGCACTGTTTCTGTTCACTTGCATTCTTACATGCTAGACCATTGTTTTGCTATTCAGGCTATTGCTCAAAACAGAAATCCAGCTTGACAGCACAGCCAGATCCAGATCCAAATGTTCTCCCCGGCTTGTCTCAGGCCACGGCCACTTTGCCATCAAGAAGATGCTCCACCCACCGACGCCCGAGCTCCAGACAGGGGATCCAAGTGCCATAAGGGCATGTACTCCCAAGCCCATTTCAGTGGCCGCCAACAACAGCAGCAACTGCACCGTCTCCAGCACCAGCCCCAGCACCAACAACACTATTATCTGTGAACAACAGGTGCCTGCGATGCACGACAGCTCCGTAGAAGCCCTTCACCAAAACCCAACCCTAGACTAAGCCCGAATTCCTCTCTCTCTCTCTCTCTCTTTCTCTTTCTCTCTCTCTCGCGCTCTCTCTGAAAAATTGGGGCCTTACTAAAAAGCGCCCCGATAGGCTTGAGCTTTTCTGCCTCATCGAGATCCCGGGCGCCGAGCACCAGCGCAATGTTTTGAGGGCCTCCCTGCAGGTCCCTCCTGGGGTTTATAGATTTATAAGTCTGATGGGTATTATAGATATTGTAAGTATTATAGGTACTATAGATTTATAGGTTGAGGGCATGTTTAGCATGTAGGGTCTTGGCGTTTTGTTGGGGTCTGTGTTGGGTGTTGGCCTTTGAATGCTTTGGGCTTGGAGAGGCTTGCATTTTTCGGGTAGGCCGTGTGAGTTTAGAGTGTTGGGGTTTATGAGTGAGGTACCCGTGTCTTGGGTGTAGGGGGTCTGTCGTCGTTGAGATGTGAGCGAGAAACAGTTCTCAGCCTGTCCCCTGCCGGAGAAACGAAGCCCAAAACATGAACGTGTTGCAATACAGGCTAGGGAGGATTGTTTCAAAGTGCCAAGCCCAAAGGCACAAGCAGCATACTCCTCAAGTTCATCCATGTTCGTCCTTTTGACGCCACTGCCGCCGCCACCAACAGCGTCAACAACAACGGCAGCTGCAACAGCAACAATAAGAACAAGGGTGGAGGCAATGCAACAGCAGCACAGCCGCGGTCGCTACAGGAACCAGACGAGCTGTAACAGGAACACTCGTCGTGGTTGGCAGTAGTGGCGGTTTTCGTCTTCAGCCTGGCCTGTAGCATGGGGTCGCCTTTTGTCGTGACTTGGTCGTACTCGACAAGGCTATGGCCGAAGCTACTGTATCGTCACATAGCTAGTGATGAAAGACATCGATGGAAGAGTACAGCTGGGGCGACGTTCATGATTTTGTGGCGTTCGAATCGAGATAACTCTTGTCACCTCCATATGGTCTCTATGTACACACATATGCAAATCACTGTACACCCAGTCGTTCTTGAAATCGATCTGGTCATTATTGTGCCGTGCATGTTTTGCTTATTCCTTAGGAGGCTTTTGCCTTCAGCAAGTTTGCCATCAGTTTGGGTGCTGTTTGTAGACACTGGGAAATATCGCAATGACGTGGAACATTACATTGGACCACCTGTCAACGGGAACGCAGGAGTGGCTTTCTCGCTGGTGTGAGCTGCAGGCCGAAACACTACACCCTAAATCCCAGTGTTCCTAAACCCCTAAACCCAAAAAGGTCCGGTATAATTAGCCGAAAGACGAAACCCTAAATCCTAGTTTTCACAAACCCCTATACCGTAAAAAGGTCCGGTATGAACCAAAAGACTAAATCCTAACTAAACCCTGGCTGAAGGACTTTGGCATTCAGGTTTCTCAGGGCTTCAGCCCGGAAAGACACCCACCCCCGCTTCGTGAGGATTCGCCTAAGTGCTGTTTTGCCCTAAACACCTGCGATACTTCGCAAAATCTGTGAATGTCCTACTTTATGTTGCTATCTGGAAGTAGCTGTGACTCTTCCGATTTGCTGATACTGCTACCGAATCTTTCGCAATTAGTCTGAACTTCCGGTTCTCCAGGGCGATGCGAAGGAAGTCGAATACGGAATACATAAAGGTGTGTATATATATATATATATAATATGTGTATATATATATATACACAATACATACACATCAATATTTCTATATTTATGTATGTGTGTATGCATGTCTGTGTGCACCTCAACACCAGCAGTCCGGTCACACGGCGCCTCAGTTGCCTGCGCGACCAGAAAAGGATTGTACGCTGCAATGACCTGCAAGGCGCGAATTGCAAGGCCTGTCGCGGAGTTACCTGCGAAACCCTATAACCCGCACGTCCTAAGGCCCTTAGTCTAAGTCAAGTCAAGCCTGAACCCTACACCCCTGATCCCGAAAAACCCCCAAGCCCAAGCCCAGTAATGTAGGGGGCTTAATGATTAGACTAGTGTTTGGGGGGGGCCATGATTGTATTACGGAGCCTCCAAAACCTCATTCCAATTATTAAGGCCCCTACATGGAAATTTCCGAAACTAGGGGACCCTAATAATATGGTACCCTAAATAGTAGGATCCTTACTATAAAGACCCCCAAATACGGTACCCCTATTTTCGGCAACTCCCACATTACCCACCAAGCCCAAGCCGCCCCGAAGAAGACCCGAAGCAGGTCAGCCACCCCGGGCTCCTCGTAGAGCTTCGAGAGGTTGGGAAGAGATCGTGTGTTTGAGGGCCATTAAAAGAGGTCTAGGAGTTTAGGGTTGGTGTAATATAGGGCTGGAGTTTAGTAAGGGTTGGTGTAATAAGGGGTTTAGGATAGGTATGGGCCTAGGAGGTTTAAAGGAGGATTTCAGACTTTAAGGCTTCAGGGCTGATTGAGAGAGGGTGATGCAGAGGTGGCGGCAGCCGTTTGCGTGGTTACTACAATTCAAGGTCGTGGTTCTGATTCTCACACTGTGCAGCGTACCAGACGGTGGTACTATTCCAGTGACTTGGTGATTCAGACGCACGAGATATTTGGTATGTTGCGGACATCTTGCACAAATCTTTGAAGGCAATAGCCTTGGAGCACAAGCCTGCCGCCAATGTCGCCTGAAGCAGCGATGTATTAGCATTTTCGTGTTTTTGGACTCTAAGCCTTGAACCTGCAAGATGTCCTCCCCGAGAAAAAGCCCCGGCTTCAGGCGTTTTGGGATGCCCCTCTGGGCTACCCAATGGCCATCCTGTGCGAGTGCGCTTTGGCATTCTCGTTTCTAGGTCTGTTGAGAGTCATGAACCGGGCAGATGTTGAACGAGGGAATTTGGCAGTTGGCAGGCTGGCTTGTCGTGAGCAGCAAAAGGAAGGGTGCACGAGTGCTCCATAAGGTACCTTTTTGTGCGTCCCGAGTTACTGGACACTGAGAATGTTGCAATGAAGCATGGCCATGAACATAACAACAGCCACCATCGTCATAATGACTGAAACTAGCGGCATGAAAGTACAAGGTGTAAGCAGGAACGAGCCACAATTATCAGAAGAGCAGGAGTCATGCAGCACTGTGACAATCATGTGCCGGGGCATCGGAGGTTGAAGTGTCCTCCTTCCTTGCCGCAACCCTTTGAAAACTCAGGCTTTTTGGGATTTAAAACTCGTTTAGGGGAAAGCCGGACAACATGAAGGCCAGCAATCACGGGCGCGAGTCATGGCCTTGTCAAGAATCAAGCAAAGCTTTGCCGCGAATGGGATGGTTTCCCTTCGCAGAGCCCCTTGCCAGCCCCGACCGGCCTTCGTCATGGGAGCTTGTCATGTGCCAGGTACATGCCACTGGGGTCACTGGATGATCTAATCCAGGCGTGGTTTGCTACAGCATGGTCATGAGGATGGCGACGATGAAAGTAACAGTAGCAATGACCATAATAATACAGGTAGGGAAGACAACGCGAACACGATGATGTGATCATGACATGAACTGGCGACCCTGGTGATGCGTGTTGACAGTGGCTACGGTGGTGGCGCTGGCAGTGGCAGGTGACGATGGCCGTGACGATGATGCGAATGTGATGGTGATGATTGATGATGACAAGCGAAGGATGCAGTGAGTCTGAATTCCTGTTTTGGCCAGAACAGACGGGGCGATTCAGTGATGAACGGGGCGTTTCAATTTGATGATTCTGATTGCGAGTACGAAGATTCCTCCTGCTGCTATAATATAAATAGTCCGAGAATCTGCTGTCAAAACTAACGCTGAGAAGCACGGGCTTGAGTTGCCTGCACTACGGTCGTTGCAGTTATGGCGGTTTTGATTTTCACGTATGTGGCAGTTCAGGCCTGTGGAGGGCTTCCAGAGTTGGCCCTGCGCGAGATCGCGCAGATGGTGCTGGAGGCGGGGGTGCTTTGAGCCATAGCTCTTGGCATGCGAATCTCGAGCATCAGCTTCTGCATCACTAGTGCGACTGCTGCACTTTCGGTGATGATCACGGCTATGCTACACGGAATGGCCTTCATCAGCATAGTTGGCACCAATATCCTCACAGCACCATGATTTTTCTTGTCCGCATCATTATTTCGCTCGTTCGTTCACTCACTCACTCACTTCATTCATTTCATTCATTTCATTTCATTCATTCACTGACTCAGTCATTCGTTCATTCATCATCAGCATCAGCAGTAGCAACATCATTATTATTATCATCATCGCCGCCATCATCATCAGCAGCAGCAGTATGAGAATCATCATACTCGCGCTCACTGCGCTGCCCACAAACTGTGGTGCATGTTTGTGCCCTTAGTTACTTCAGAGATCTGTCGGATTTCCTGCGCCATCGTCGCTGCAGGCTCTGGACTTGCTGCATTCCATGGAGCCCCCGGTGGTCCATGGCTGCCTCAAGCCGTCACAGGCCTCATCAAGACAGAGCAGACAAGTTGGAGTCTCGACGTTCTGGCACACTTGCGTAATTGACGAAGTTCTGCCCGTAAATGCCGCTCGAATGCAGAAGCAAACCCAGAAACCCACTTACAGCTTGCCCACCAAACCAGCTTGAGAACCTCCACCAACCCGCTGCCGGCACTTCCAATGCTCCGAAGACGGAATGAGAATTCGACCCGGATCGGGTCCCTGCTGGAAAAACTAACAACCCCAACCTACTTCCCAGAGTCGAAGGTCCGAAACGCTCCGGCCTCTCCCAGAACCTCCGCCCCAAATCCATCCAAACCCCGAAGGTTCTCTTCACCGCTTCTGGTAGCCCACGTCTGACCTTCGGCTTGGAGCAGCGTATCAAGCACTCGCAGGTCCCAGGGGGGCGTGCTCATCGCTACTGGGCGGTGTAGGGTCTAGAGTTCAGGGTTTAGGATTTACGCGAAGACTAGCTGGTGCTGTTCACCATCAGACTCATGATCGCTACGGTGCTGGTAATGATGGTATTTGTCGCTGTGGCTGGTGATGCTGCTAGCTACGGCTGTCGTTGCATTGTGGCTAGTGTTGTTGGTGTTGATGGTGATGATGATGATGACGATGATGGTAAGACGAGACACATTTCTGAAGTCGCCTAGTTGGGTCGAATTCGGGATTTCTCAAGTTTCCCGCCCAACAATTGGGGAGTGCTGCGGCTTTGGGATGGGGCAAAGCTCGGTGGTGGCAGAATATTCTCAGAGGATTCTTGGAGAACAGAGGCAACGGGAAATTCCCAGGGTCTTCACAAGCCATGTTTCCCGGAACAAGGTTCTGCCAGGCCTCATCCAGTCACGTCTGCAGCCAAGTTTCGTGATTGGAATATCTTACCGCAGCTGTTGTTGCTCGTGCACGGAGAAACCATGCATGGCGAACATGGCACATCACAGTGTACTGACAGGCAGCGGCTATTGCTGAGCAAAAGCCAGCGCTTTGACTAGCTCCGATGCTGCATGTCCTGGTCGCAAACTAAAGCATTGCCGTCCAGAGCAAGGTGCTAGAGGTCACATGTTCGCAGTATCCACGGTCGCTGAGGGATCACAAGTCAGACAATCAAAGCCTTTTGAGCTGACCGCACCCTGGACCTCGCAGCCCTCCGGGTAGAAATTACCTGGGCAGTGGCACGGCAGCTGACGCTATGACAGAGGCAGTGACGGGCCTCTTCCTGTTCTGGTTGTTGTGGCGAAGCTTTGTCCTTTTTGTCTGCATTCGACGCAGCAAAACGCAGCAGACTTAGTCGGCATATGTAGCGAGGAGCAGAAGCAGTCGTCGCCGTTGCAGTCGTGCTGGTGACGGTGGTGCGAGTTATTGCCTGACAGGTAGTAAGAGCGGTGGAAATGGTTGCCATCTTCGTAAATGCTGTGGTGGTTGTAGCCGAGCACTTGCTACAGGGTCCCATGTTATTTTTCCAAGATCATTGGCTCTCACCTAGCAGCTTCAGTGTCCTTCTTTGTGCAGTGAGCGTTGGAGTTGCCTCCGGCTTCCGCACGCCTTCAGCTCTACTGTAGGGGCCTAAATAGTACCAATACTATTTTGCGGGTTCCTTATTATTTATATAATTACAGTATCATGGGCCCCAAATGCGAACCTGTAAGCAGTCCGAAGTCTGCTTCCATCGAGGCCGGCGACTTGGACAAGAGAATCTTCAAGAAGAGCGAGGTGTGGGACCAGCTCAGATAGCGCACGCATTCTGAGAGAATCTTCGGGACTCAACCCGATTGCTCGCCTCATAATTGTCTTGGACATGCATCAGCACTTTTTCGCAACACCGTCGTCCGGCAACTTCGTTCCTGCGCAGCTTTGTGCTTCGTTCGGAGACGCGGGCTGCTGGGAGGGCATCAGAGTCGATCCGAGCGGATGTCTCCGATTTCAGTCGTAGCTGGCATGAAATTTGCCCAAAGGGAATAGACCCGAAAGCGTCATAAAAATGGAAAGCAAGCTCCCAAACCCTAAAAAGCCTTAATCTCGGAACCCCAGGCCCTGGACCCTGAACAATCTTTGTTCAACCTTGGTGTATGATCCAACGATGACGAAGCCATGGTTGCCAGGACAACAAGCGAGGCATCCCAGAGGCGATATTCATCGAGAATGTGGAGGCCCTTCTAGTTTTCCTTCGGGGTTCAGGGGTTCCGGGCGATCAAATATTCACCACGGCATTTTGCATCGCTTCGTATGTGAAGGTCCCGCGTTTTTGGGACTATCTGTTCCAGTATTGCCGGGCATGGCCAGCTTTAAACCGTACCTCCAACAATAAGAGGCATGAGTCATGGCGTAATTTGTGATTCGCTTCTGTTCAACTCTCACTTCCTCTGCATCCAAATAGGCTGTGGCACCTGGTGGGTTCTCATAGTACCGGTTGATATGCCAAGTACGTGTCTATGTGGATGTGTGTACATACATACATACATACCATCGTACTATCATACTATACTGTACATGCATATGTAATCACGCATGTACACTTACATTTACATGTATATGCAAATAGAAGTGTATATGCACACAAATCTAGGTTCTCCCAAAAAATTCGAGTGATCGAAGGAGCTTTGCAAAGACCGAGAGCCCACGCAAGTCGTGGGAAGGCTGCAGGACCTGCACAGCAAGTGGCCTGGCTGAGCGTGCTACGGTTGATGATATAAGTCCTGCATTACCCATAATAAGGACTATACCCTAAATCCCACAGTTTAGGGTCCTTAAGCTAATGCAGGATTTATATCATCAACAGTTTGTTCAGGGCTTCTTCGATTTTCAGTCGATGGGTTTCGTTTAAAGCCTCACCCTGAACCCGACATGCTTGCAGTCTCAGTAGCCTGAGGTACCAATACATGCAAAGCTCTTTGACCGCACAGCGCTCATCGCTGAAAACAAAGCTGCCCCAAGCTCAGCATCCTCTGACGACAGCTTTCAGTGGCTGTTGCTGGGTGCTGCCTCTGCTGGTTGTAGCGGTGTAGTGGTGTTCGCGGTGCTGCTGCGCTGCTGCTGCACCCTTTACTAAAACTATGCAGTGGCCCTGAATGCAAATAAGAGCAGAAACGCAAACACCCGGGCAGAAGTGACAGTACTGACAGCAGTGACAGCAGCTAAAGCTACAACAGAAGCGCCAGTGAAGACACGGAACACTGGGTTGACGACGAGCAAGACGACCACGACTGGTACCATCGCCACTTGCTTTCGACACACGACAACCACGATGTCGCAGTTCATGGCGCTAATGTCCATTGAAGCAGTTCCAAAGATTTTGAATGGCATCGGGCCCATTCGGAGGCTCGATTCTCCTGGACTGCAGAACCTATGTCTGAAACTTAACACCCTTTCAAAAGCTAGACCGTAAATCCTGAACCGAAACCATGGAAATCCGAGTCCTAAACCGAGAGCCCGGGACAAAAGCCCACAAGCTGAGGCCTGACATCAGCGCGGCACTGGAGGCGCAGGGTGAGTGTATTATATTACATATTATATTATGTATTATACTCTATTGTATATTTTTCAACGTATATAGAGGGTCTTGAGGGCTTAGGAGCTGGAGTGTTTATGCCGGCATTTCGAGTTCCACACTCCATGCTCAACAAGCCGCGGTGCAAGACTTGATCATGAGCGATTCTCACTCGCTTGAGGGCCTCTACTCCACTTGCGTGGAGCATGTTGCTTCCTTGTCCTGATCCTGAGTTTGCTGTGGCAGGTCGTGGAGCACCTCGTGTCAAAGAGCAGCGAGGCACACGCCCCATCTATCGTTTCAGTTCCAATGGAGGTATTGTAGACTGAGAAGTTCATGCTGTTCATGTTGTGATTCTTTATGTAACTAACTAATTGCTCATGTTACAAGTTGTATTAACGCCAAGGGCTACCATTGCGAGGATGGATTGTAGCTCCACCTGGTACACCATGTACACTCAGAAATTAGACTTGAGGTGTACACGGTTGCAGCAAAGACTCGCGAATTCGCGCGAAGTGTAGGCTTCGATTCGTTTGGCACACCTGTCGGAGCTAAAGTGGGCTGCAGGTTTGTGGATGTTTGTGTTCTAGCTTGAGCGGCATTCACAAGGACTCGTGATTGTGCTGCGCTTGCTGCTCGATGTTGAGGCAAGCGAGGACGAGCCCACGCAGTACACCTATCAGCTAGCCGAGAACATCTGGTCCAAGGCACTTCTGGAAGTTCCTGTGGCACCTCATGCAGACCCTGACAGAGATCTCGAGGGTGATTTCAAGCTTTCGTCCCCCCTTACGTGGGTGCAGGCAGCACAGATGCAGTAGACTCGGGTTCAATTTGGAACCCAAAACCCTCAATTCTACACCCCACAGCTTGTCTCGCACTGGCATCCAGCATGAGCTGCAAGCGCCTGCAGATGCCTAGTGAGCTGCCTTATCCCTCGAAGATCCCGGAACCAGAATCCAACAGCCGCAACGCCCTGGAGCCCCAAAGCCCTGAGACTCTAGGCACTGAAGCGGTAAAGACAACGACAATCCTTAGACCTGCCAGGCCTCTGCGCCTCCCAGCAAGACGGTTTGCTTGTGGCTCGGTGCCAACTGCATGCTGGAATACACATTGGACGAGGCCAGCGGCTGTGGAGTGTGGAACTGGTTGAGGCGGTTGAGGCAAAGTGTTCGTAGGCCGGAAACGGCAGTGACAGAAGTTCACCAACCAAACCATGGCAGCACACTTGGTCAAGGACTGCACCTCTCATCGAGGACAAGGATCCTAACTGCTCCCCCTGACGCAGCACCCCAACGGTCTCAGCGTTTGCCCCAAGATCGGGCAAAGGGGCCAGGCACAGGATCCCCTTCAGCACTCGTCGTCGTAGCGGCAACAACAGCAGCAGGCGCAGTTGCCGGGAAGGCTTTTTGCCTGCCCTCTGCACCCAGCGTAGATATCTCCGAGATCCCCACTCTCATTACAAGGACCCCAAAATAAGGTACCCCCTATTTTCGGAGACTCTAAACAACCCTAAGGTACCCCCGAAATCCCCCGAATTGACGGACACGCCCGTGGAGTATTCTGCGGGCAGTTTTGAAATTTTGCCGCAGGCCCTAGATCTCCTGAAGACGAACGAGACCAACGCCAGGCGGCGTCTCGTGGAAATGTTAGGATGTAGAGCTTAGCATATGCTAGTATATATTATAGTATAGTATATTTTTTATGTTATGTTATAGTACAGTATTTAACAGCAGTAAACTAACAATATATTAGTGGTATGATACTATTAGTATATTATGAGTATATGACTGGTATATTATATACCAGTCATATACTAATAATATACTAATAGTATCATACCACTAATATATTATTAGTTTACTGCTGTTAAATATTATAGTAGTGTCTTTGAGAAGCAAGATCCAAGTGGGGTACAGCGGTCAGGGCCAGAGGCTCAGGGTTGGGTTAGGGTGCTCTCTGGCGTTTAGGTGTTTGTTTGAACAAGCATAACACACACACACACATACACACACACACACACACACATGTAGGAGTCAATGCTGGCGACTCTCCGATTCTCTACACTGTTCGGCAGATGCTCCCCATTGCTGTCACGGAACACTCCAACGAAACGCATAGATGCTAACGTACGTACCTGTGTTCGCCCACTTTGGAGGACAACGCTGTCATCACTCGAGGAGGTTTGCCAAGAGCGGCATTGCGATTCGTGCTTCGAATTTGCAGAAGGTCAAGAGAGCGTCTGTCTACTTCAAGGGATGTCACTGTCATCACCACAGTGCGGCACCTGCACCTGGTTGCACTGTGAAGTAGTCTGCAGCACACGGTCCTAATTAATTACTACGGGGAGGTAGCCCCATTCAGTCTTCCTTAAACTCTTTTGTCTCTTGACGGAAACATAGCAAGTCAGGAGTTAGTTGGGAAGCGCCCGAAGTGTACCAGCCAGCTCAAGAAGACACCGTGCCAAACTTCTTCTAATCGTCCCCTTCGATGAAGCGGCGCCTCACGTATTTCGTATAGCCTGGTCTTGCTATGGTTTGGGGGTCCCCAAGAGACTACGAGACGTGCATCTTGCAGCATCCTGCCGGGGAAAGCCTACAGGACATGGCGTTCCTGCGAGATCAGATCACGACTACGGAGGCCCAGCATCACATGTTAAGCCGTGTTGTTTGTATATTTGTTGCTATCGGATGGCCTCGTTGCTATCTGATGGCCCATTATAGTATATCCAGTCTCCATGATGTGCCCTGAGATCAATCCTGGTGACCTGCGCTGATGTAATCTGATCTGTTACCTTCGCAAGCTTGAGCCGCAAGGCCCTGGCACTGCATTACACTCCACAACGAGCATTTCGTACGTTTGGTTTCCGAGTGACAAATCCCACCCGGTGGCGCAAGACCTTAATGCGGAGCTGTCTGATGTGGACAATTCTGAGAACAAGGGCCCAAGACCAAAGCCTCCATACCGGCAGCCTGTGGCGCAAGGCTTTGCTGTAGAGATTTTTGATGTGGACAAATCTCAGAGTAATGGAGAAGCCAAGCCTTCGCACTGGTTCCTAGCGAGCTCTAGTTGGGGGCCCTGGGGTCCCAAAGCCCGAGACCTATGAGCCGCCTGACTAAGTGCCGCGACCAGGTCAATATCGCTCGCACGCACAATTATGGCGTAACCTGGCCTAAGCTGCCTCACAATCATGTTGGGGGCTACGGCTTTGAGGAAAATAACAAGGAGAAGAGTAGAGGGAGCGTCGGGTTGTCGTCGCGATCATCTGAAGGTGTTCACAGGCTCTACGTGCTTGGATTAGTCGTGGGTGGTGGAGGGCTTCCCTGGGCTTCTCCAGGTTTTCAAGGGGTTCGGAGAGTGAGGCCTCGAGCAAATTCTGGATGTCCTTGGACGCATCTTCCTGGTGGGTTTCCCAACCCAGCAGGCAGCTTCTCTTCTTGAGGAAATCTAAGCACCGAACCCTTTCGCGACACTTTAAATCCTCGTGGAGAACCCTATTCCCTAAGACTCTTCATGAACTCTACCTTAATGCACGCCCAGCGCCTTTCTCAGGTGAAGTTGCGCCAGGCTGCTAAAGCCAAGGCTGATATGGGTTTAGGGATGTTTAGGGTTTGCAGGGTTCAGGGTTGACGGCTTCCAACTTAGCTAGTTCAGAGTGTTGCTTGAGGGCAGTTCTGCGCATGAGTAGGGCAGATCTCTCACGAGAATGCCGTCACAGGTGTTGAGGACACTTCTTGGTGCCCAGGCGAAACCCTCGCCCGTCCATAGGCACTTATCATGTTTTTTGCGTAGCCGTGTAGTAGTGCTATTAGCAGTCGAATTTTCAGAACTACAGCTGAACGGTAAAGAGCTTGGTTGCCATGTCTGTGTGGCTAAGCATGACGACAATTTATTCGTTTGTCCATCTCTTGCTCAACCCCAAGAAGCCCGTGCAACACTAAAGCCGGTCCGAACAGCATTAGTCATGGTGCAGTTCAGTGGTGGTAGCAGAGTAGCAGTAGTACACAGTTCCAGTGTAACAGTAGCACTAGCACCGGCACTAGCACCGGCAGTAGCAGTAGCAGTAGCTATCGTCGTCGTTGTAGTAGTCGTAGTAGTCGTAGGAGTAGTAGTCGTCGTCGTCGTCGTAGGCGTAGTCGTTTTCGTAGTCGTAGTAGTAGTAGTCGTCGTCGTCGTAGTCGTAGTCGTAGTCGTAGTCGTAGTAGTAGTAGTAGTAGTAGTAGTAGTAGTAGTAGTAGTAGTAGTAGTAGTAGTAGTAGCAGTAGCAGTATCAGTAGCAGTAGTAGTAGCAGTAGCAGCAGTAGCAGTAGCAGTAGCAGTAGCAGTAGCAGTAGCAGTAGCAGTAGCAGTAGCAGTAGCAGCAGTAGCAGTAGCAGTAGCAGTAGCAGTAGTAGCAGTAGTAGCAGTAGTAGTAGTAGTAGTAGTAGCAGCAGCAGCAGCAGCAGCAGCAGTAGTAGTAGTCAGTAGGCGTAGTCGTAGTAGTCGTAGTCGTAGTCGTCGCAGTAGTCGTAGTAGGCGTGGAAGTAGTAGTAGTAGTAGTAGTAGTAGTAGTAGTAGTAGTAGTAGTAGTAGTAGTAGTAGTAGTAGTAGTAGTAGTAGTAGTAGTTAGTAGTCGTAGTAGTTAGTAGTCGTAGTAGCAGGAGTAGTAATCATAAGTCCAAACCCCACCTCAGGCCCTCAAGCAGTAAATGTAAACTTTTGTGGCCAGGAGGCTGAGAAGTCCTGAGCAGAAGCAAGAGGAATGCCGCAAGGGGAGATTAAAAAAAACGGCGTCGTGGTCTTCTTCCTGCAGACATGGCCGAGGGTGTAGTTGCTGTGAGGACGGTGGTTGTGGTCGGCGTGGCTCATGCGTTTTTGCTGTTGGTATGTTTGGTATTGCGCTTGCTGTCAGTGTTGAGGGTGTTGATGACGTAAATGATCGTTACTGCTTGTAGTTCGTCACTCTTGCTGCTATTGCTGCACTACTGACATATTGCTTTTGGGTTTTAGGGTCTTTGGGTTATCAGGGTTAAACGAATGGGGATACAAGACATCCTGTTACTGTAGATACCAGCGTCAATCTTCCCCCGAGTTGCATTGAACGTCAGAGGTCACTCGACATGTGTTCATCACTGTGCTAGCAACACACGACGACAATTTCCACTTGGCCTCCTGCCCATTCGAAGAACTCGAGCTTAAACCTTCTGCAATCTAAACCTGCTGCAAAGAGACATATCCACGAACACTGAGCATTTGTACACAGAGTGAGAATGATAGCTTTGCGGCTACAGTGCATACATAATAGATGTGTCTGGCGTGCAGGTCGTCGCTGCTGCATCAGGCGGTGTCCCCGTTGATGCACCAGGCCTCTGACTCTGCATACCAACATGGCCATCTGAGATCCTTTTCAATAGGGTTGCTGTGCAAGGCGTGTTCCTGGTTCTACATGACCACGCATCCCCTCATCAATGTTGAACAGGTTCACATACCAGTCGGCATATGTAGAACTGTGTTTGTGAATGATGCTGGTCAGAGGCGCAAATTCAGCATGCCCTGCGGGAATACAGATTCATCTTCAGTGTGTTTCCCGCAAGCTCGATCCATCCTCGCCACAGTCGTTGTCTTCGCCATCACCAACACAACATCATCATCGGGCTTCGTGATGGACACCGTGGCATCATCGCCGTCATGATCTCCATCGTCGACATCAGTATCCTCTTCATCGTCGTCATCATCATCATCGCCATCATAATCCTCATCTTCAACCCAATCATTCCTCATCATCACCGTCATCATCGTCATCATCATCATCACCAACATAATCATCACACCAGCCGGACAAGTACCTGTTGCAAAATGCTCATGCGGCAAAGCGAGAAGGGGATGCCGCAAAGCGAATATCTTCATCTTCGACTTGCCGTGCTGACATTATACCGGCCTGAGGAGAGAGAACATCGCTGCCATGCCCTCTAATGTCAGACCGCACCTGTGACACGAACAAGCAATACAATCGGCAGAAGCTTTCACGTCGCCAAGCTGAGCACAGGATGATGCTGGCACTGACATAAATGATCATGGCCCTATGTGAAGGTGCCGAAGCACACGTCGAGCAGTCCACAGCTGTGGTTTCTCGGAGCAAAGATTCCAGTTCTTCTGGGTTCTGGTGTAGTGAGCAGACTGCGGATGCTACCATAGGTAGTAGCTGGTGTGGGCTTGATGCCGCAGCCGGGTGTCCAACTCGGGCCAACAAAAGCCTGAAGGCTCGAGTCTTTGCATCTGGGGCTTCTGGTGATTCTTCGGAGTGTTTCTCTCTAGTTGAATCCTGGCCACGATCACCGCATCCTCCTCGTCGTCGTCAGCGTATTCGCGAGCATCATCGCAGCCTCGGCCATCATCATCACCACCACCATTATCTTCATCATCGCCGTCGTCGCCCGCCTGCTCACGACCAATAGGATCGCTACTCGCACCTTGCGTCGTTGACAGAAAGCTGAGAACTACATGCCACAGCCTAGTCTACGCTTCACGCTTGAAAGTCGTTCAAGGTTGGAGGAAGGGTGCCCAAATCCGAGCTTGACATGATAGTTCAATAGAGCTTGTCGAAATCATACTCTCGCGCACCTTCGTACTTGTCAGATGGAACGAAGCCCCCGAATCGTGACCCTACTAGCAACCACAGAAGTCTCTTTTCGTAACCATAGGAAGAGGAATGCTGTTGACTCCTGAAGTCATCGAGGCTCCTACACTTCTCAGAAGCCCTAAAACCTCAAACCCTGAACCCTGAGCCCCTCCGCTTTCAAAGCCCCGAACTCCGAAATTTTGCGTTTCAAGCCCGAAGACCCTAGGACACCGCAACCCTGAATCCCTGCACTTTTGCTCTAAGACCTCAGCCTTAAACTCTGATCCTCACACTTTTCCTACATCAGAAGCTGGCACAAAGGACATCTTTGACTTGGGGCTGCTCTTACTGGTCTTCGGACCCAGTGAAAAGCTCTCGGAGAGGTGTAGTGTTTGGAGTCTCTTTTTGAGCCCTTCCATGGAGACCCTTTTGGAGGGTGTTAGTGAGGGCGCCTGCCCAACTGGCTCTAGAATCCCTCATCTCGTGGAGTCGGGCATTCTGGGCACTGGTTTCGGTCTGGCATCCAGGGGGCCTCGGTGCTTGGAGATCGACTGTTGGGGTTGGTGAAGGGCTGGGGGGCTTCGGGCTCGGAGTTTAGGTGGCGAGGCTTTGGGATGTAAGGCTTGAAGTGATACCGGGAAGTCTTTCGGAGGCCGTTTCCATGGTTGCAGTCGATGTGCTCTTCGAGTGATGTCGGCTGCCGTAGTGCCGTATTATGTGACAGGGCTGAATTCAAGTTTCAGTCAACCCCTGGCAGCCCTAGCATCCAGAACCCAGCACCTCAGATACGGAATTGTTCGAAGTTTGTTGAACCTGAAAGCCTAGGTGTCCGCTCTCGGCGGGATGGACATCCTACTTGGTGCCATCCCCTATGCCCGCCACGACCCGAGCTTGCAGGGTCTCTGGGGCGTGAAGGACAGAAGCCCTAAACCGGACGTGCAGTACTCAGCAGAAGCGCCTTGTCTATTGTTATCAAAGTATCGCGATGGCTGTCATTATTGGTAGTGTTTCCATTTTAATTCATCATTACGCTTTCTCGACTTAGGCTAGGCTCCTGAAAAGGATTCCAGGTTGGAATGTCGAGATGGTGACCTCATCACCCAAAGAAACAACGTGCTTCTCATCGCCGCCAGCTTCTTCATCTCTGCTTCTCCACCTCGTTGTAGTACATTGCAGTAGAGGTAGTAGAAGTAGTATTAGTCGTCGTAGCGGTGGGGGTAGTGGTAGGGGTGATTAGGGGTTAGCGGTAGGGGTAGTGGTAGTAGGAGTAGCAGCAGCAGCAGCAGCAGTAGCAGCAGTACTCGCAGCTACAGTTGGCATTAGAACGACAGCTTAGCATATCGAGCACGCCACTGCTGAGGAAACCTCGGATCGGATCACCCGGCACTGACCTTAGGCAGCTGTCGGGGGTCGAGTCTTGTGGCAAACGCATCTACACGGCCTGTGGTGATGCATTGGCTGTTCAGTGAAGAAAAAGACTAGTCAAATTGGGGCAGGCGGAATCTTTGTGCTAGCCTCCGTTGAGTCAGAAGGGCTCAGCTCCGACGCTCGAGGCATGCTTAGTTTCGCCTTGGCACCACCAATCCGCTGTTCAGTGCAACGGATGTGTAGAAGCAAGAACGGCAAGAAAGACTGCATCTGATGGCCTGGAAGCATATTCCAGGCACGTGTCAGGCGCCACTCTGACATCCCAAAACATGTAGCAAAAGGAACCCTTCATATTTAGGTTACTTAAACTCTGCACTTTATCGTTTCAAGGTCTCTTCCCCCGGCTCCGGTACAGCTTCGCTGCTGCTCAATGAGCTCCGTGGCTGTGCTACCCCCGAGGCTCACTCAACACTCTTTCGCTTGCAAGGCTGCTCATGATGATGACAGTCCTGCGGTGACTATACGTTATAAGTGTCTTGATATAGGTAGAAAGTGGCAGAACTAGTAAGTTGGCTTTGTTTCTTTGCTTTGTCCACGCCTGATACAGGCTGCGGCAGCTGCGGCGGACATGGGCAGAAGCCCCAGCTGCAGCTCAAGATACCGTCCACTGATTCAGGCTGTGATCGTGGCTTCCGAAAGCAAAGACATGAACCACTAAGACGATCCTAAATCGTAGGTCTCTCAAAGGCCACAGCCCCTGAGCCCTCAAGTCCCTGAGTTCTCATCGCTCCCGTTACAAGATCCGCAGTCAGTAACTTCAAGGTGCTTCGGCAACTGCAAGCTACTCTGCGTATCGTGCCTTCTGAGGAAAAAGGAATGCAGTGGACCCTAACCCCGGTTGGGTTTAATTAAGGCTTAAGGCAGGGCCCAGCCCCAAGAACAAAAACCGGCTGCCCTTCGGGCTTCCGCGGCAGCTGCGAGGCTACTTGCCACCCGCTTCGGACCTCCTCTTCAACCGGCGTTTCTCAGGGTTCGCGGCGTGGGTTGTCTTGTAACAAGAAGCCGAAAGATGTGGGTCGAGTCTTCTTATTCATTCGTCAAGGTGCTACGTAGTTGAAAAACTGAGCAAGCCTGGCAGCCTTTGGCTTGACTTCTCTCTTCTACTTCAAGTTGGGTCCCGCAAGGGAACTAAACGTCCACACTCTGGCCATTGGCTCTATATTCAACTTCGAAACCGGCCTTGTTCCTCCTCAAGCATTCCCCGAACTTCCCGTACTCAAATGAACCCGTCAGCTGTGCATATCCTTCTGAGTGTCTTGTTGTGAGCACGTGCGGTGACAGTACCTATCGCTTTTGCGGGTGTTCAGACCAACATCGGTTTCCAGCTGTCAGAATACTACGATAGAAAGACGGCCATCGCGATGGCACGGCCCGAATATCATGATTGCTGTTGCCGTGAAGCCACCATTGCAGCTCGAGCTCACGGCTGTTACTGCTGCTATGCGAAGTGTGTTGGCAGGATACTCTTGGACATGCAGTTGTAGTAGATATATCGATAACGTTCCGGGAATCATGGCTGTTGCTGCTGCAGCTGCTGGAACACTTGGTATGTCTACGATCATATAGGCAGCATATCTATAATCAACATCCCGGGCTCCTGCGTCAGGCACTTCCTGGCGTTCGTCTCCACGTGCTTGGAGGATCTGGGGGGTCTTTGGGGTGGACGAGAGAACGCCAAATCCTCAGCCCTAAGCCCCGAGCCCGTGGTGAAGCAGTGGAGCACGGCGCCCCGCAGGCGCACACGCAGACTTCGCCGGTGACTGCCCGGGATCTGCTTCAGCACGAGTTCCTCAGTGCTCCAGTCGAGCCCTCGGCTTTCCGTGAGCAACTGCAAGGCCCAGAGTCCGAGTCCTGGGATATATGATAGATCACTCTATCTTTGTTTCCCCTTGGATAGTCAGGTTCTGTCCCCGTGAGCCGTGAGCTATCGAGGTGCCTGAATATGTTGTTCTGTCATCAGGCGGACGGAGGTCCCCTGGTTTCTCTGCGCGAGATGCAGGCCCTCTCCCGGATACTCAACGAGGCCTGTGAGATGGAATGCAAGGCTTTTGGGCTTGCGGTTTATAGTCATCTTAAGTTTAGAGAGTATGAGCTAGGGAGGAGCCAGATGATTCGAGCACGGTGCTAGGGTAATGTGAACCTTGGTTGTAAACCCTTCATTCCTGAAGAGGGGTTCCTGAACCCCCATGGACTACGATGAAGTCGAAGCCTCAACCTCTGCAGATCTCCACCGTATATCCGACACTTTGGAATCTCCATAGCATGCCCTTAAACCCGCAGAAAGTTCTAAGACCTTCAACGCATTTTCAATAATAGCCTTTCTTCGCCGCAAGGCCACGCGGCAGGAATCTGATCCCGAGTAGTAGAAGTATCCTTCTCACAACGAACCCTACGTACGGTGCCCTTCGAAGATACTACACCGTGCCACATCAATCACCCTTTCTATTGGTGGTTGTGCTGTGCTTTCTGCCCCCCCATCCCCCTCCACCCCAATCCCTAAACGCCAAAACCCTGAAGCCCCCAAATCCTAAAAACCTTAAACCCTCAAGCCCAAATCCCTAAACCCCAAAACCCACAACCCAAAAGCCTAAACCCCAAACCCTTAAACCGCAAGACCCTCCACAGCCCTACGAGTCGACGAGGCACCGGATCAGGACCCCAACCGCTTCGTCCCCGGTGGCCGGCCACAGGCAGCGGATGGGGTTTGGGGTGTTTGGTTTTCGGGTTATATACGGTTTTCCAGAATTTCCAGGGGCTTTTGGGGTTTCTGAGGTTGAGGGTTTAGGGCCTTCGGTTTCAGTTTAGAGTTTAAGGGTTTAGGGTTTAGGGTTTTCTATTCGAAGGTGGGATGCTTGTGGCGTTGGGGTTTTAGGATGGGATTTGGGGATTTAGGGTTTGGGGGGACTTGAGGGTTTAGGGTTTGGGTTCAGTATGCGCTTAGAGTTTAAGGTCCATTAAATTTTGTTGGCTTAGCCAGGGTCTCGGGAGCCACAGGATGTTATGTATGTCGTGTCTGACATGTGACATTGAGTCTTTATAATGCAATCGGAGCAGGTAGCTCTGGCCTTGGCATTTCTGTGTGTTGATCACAGCGAAATAAGAGTAGTTATCAGCACTTGCAAGGGTATCCAGATTGCCTACCAGGCTACAATTGTTCCAGATTTGGCCTGGGCTTCCATATCTCTTTGTTTTCTGAGAGGAGAGGACAGGGGCTGGGAGGAGGGGCTGAGGCTTTAGGCGTTTCGGGGTATAGACTCTCTGGGAAGTTGTCCGATTACTGGGTCTCGCAGAAGACATCCATCCTCATGCTTTTAAGCACAAGTCAGATCGTAGCAAGATCATCTGCATTCAACGTGTCGACATCTGTGCCTCAAAGATGCCCTAAATGAAGTGCGGCGGCTGTGTAGACTAAGTTCAAAGTTCAAACGTTGCTGATGGTGGTAGCCCTCAGCGACCAGTGTTGATGATGTCGACTGGGCTCAACATGATCACGACAGTTGCAGTTGTTCTGTGAGAACCAGGTCTGGCCTGGTTTTGTCGTCCCTCCATTGTCTGCATGGTTGCAGGTCCCCGGTGTGGCCCCGAGCGTCGCCCAAAGTAGAAGCCTTAGCAGTGTTCGGGTTTGTTGGGGCAGTGCAGCACTCTTTGTCTTTCGGTTTTGCGTCTTCGTGCCACTTCTGACCCACTTGTATGACCGATAAAGCATTGGGGCAAATGCTCTCTACCTGCAAGATCAGCTTGTCAATGCGAGTATGGAATCTAGTACGGAAGCACCTGACATGTTGTTGGGTGACCTTTGGCATGTTGATGTGGGCTCCTACCTTACGCACAGTTCCTTCTGACAGAACGGCTTTCTGCCAGTCTTGCTGGGGGGTCCTGCTCCCCAATCGTTCCAAAGAAGGTTATTAGCTTGGTTTTCAAGGTGCGCAGCTCTACTTAATGAACATCGCACAGTCCATTGCGCCGTACTGCAACTGGCCAGCTGCTTAGCTTTTGAGGCCCTGGAGTGCACGACCGGTGTGCGATGCGGCCCTGCTTGCGCGAAAGGGGATACTCGTGGATGGACGAGTTGGTTTTTATCCGTGTACCCATGTCACGGCAGCCGCGCAGACGAGAACAAGCGCTGACCCGAAAGTTGACGAGTCCAGCCCAACCATAGTTCCCGAAGTCTTTCAGCGTTGGCTATCGAGGTCGCTCAATGGACTTACGCCGAGAACAGGGATGGATGGCACAAGCACCAGGCTCACGTTCCAGCAAAACCTTGCGCAGATTGGCATACATGGCAAGACCGCGGCAGCAAAGCTGCCTCACGGCCTGCAGCAAAGCAAAATGGTGTTACAAGTGGAGGTGTCGAGCAATATGTTTCTAATATTTCAGATGAGGAAATTGCTGCCTGGCGTCACAGAGAGGTTCTGTTAAAGCTGTTATATCCTATCGCATTTGAGTTGCTGCGCGATTTGTTTTAGTGCAGGCCGCTCATTTTGTGAGCAGGGTCCATGACACAGACGTTGTAGCGTTCCTAATGCTACCTCTACTGTACTGCATTGCGAACTGCTGATTGTCTTATCGGCCTTTGACATACGGATCATGTATGTTGCATGCTCATGCGGTTGCCGATGCTGGCATCCGCATCGTCATCATTCCACCCCAGACTCCTGTGCTGCACAATTCCAAACCCTGAGGCCTAAATTACGTGTGTGTGTGTGTGGCCTGACCTTGAACCGCGAATCACGCTCTCACTCTCAAACCCCAAGCCCCGCAACCATTCACGCGTTTTTTGAGCCCTCACCTTGAACCTTCGGGGTGCATTAAGGGTTTCGGGCGTAGGGGTCTACGAGACCGGAAATCATCCGAAGTGCTGGGCACACAGGCGGGATGCATCTGTCGGGGCCCAAGCTCTGTCGAACTCAGGGAGCCCTGAGCAAAATTCTCTCGGGTACTGGGAGAGGATAGCAACCATAACGAAACTAGCCATCCTGTTCGATGTTTTAAATACACACTATATGTACTGATTTGATATCCGTTGTCTCAACTCTAGTCCCAATCCAAACCGGAGAGGCGGATGGTGGTTGGAAGGTGGAGTTCTGAGCAGCTTCTAGGGTTTGATCTTCTCCCTCTTCCTCGTCTTTCTCTTCTTCCTTGTCTTTTTGTCTTCCTCTTCTTTCTCTTCTTCCTCTTCTTCTTCCTCTTCTTCTTCCTCTTCCTCTTCTGCTACTTCTTTTTATTGTTGTAATTGTTCTTATTTGTGTGGTTATTCCTTTTCTGTTTAGTCTTATTCTATTTGTGTTTGATTCTTCTTCTTAGTCTTCTGCCTAGTAGGTTGTTCTTCTTCCTGTTCCTTTTCCTCTTCCTCTTGTTCTAGCTTTGTCTTTGTACTTTCCTCTTTCCTTTCTTTTCTTCCTCCGTTTTTTCACAACAGGCTTTAGACTTCATTGCTGGAGCTCTTGTGCGAGGAGGATGCAGAGTCAGAAATTGCATAAAGCGAGCACGGAGGAGCAGGAATGTACGCTTTCGAAGTCTTCAGCCCCGATTATATCGTCAGTCATGTTCCGACAACTCATGGCAGTTTCCTCATTCTAATTGTGCCAGTTCGTCTGCAGTATCAATGGTCTGGCACAGTTGATGCGTGTTCCTTCCAATCGGCCCGCTCAAGGCGAGACGGCGTGGCTCCGCTTCCTGGGAGACCCTCTTAGCCGACTCAGCTTGGATCTCGGCCTGTTGAGGGCGGTTTAGGGCTTGGGGTTTAGGGCAACTTAGGCTTCTTGGACCAAGTGCCTGACCAGCATATGCCCCGCAAGAAAAACACCTGTTGTCTGTGCCGTAAGGACTGCTGATGCCCAATGATTGGATCCCAGTCACTGACATTCCAGGGTTTGACACCCCAGGAAACCAAGAGCAACCCCGGCCACAAACCCCATCCCTCAACAAAGG